CTGCTACCACAGCGAACACCTGGCATGGGCCTAAACCTTCATGTGGTGCCCCTGTTTAAAACTAATTAGGCCTCTAACATCTGAAGGGAGGATGACATGGCCACCGTGGTAATGCCAATCAACCGCAACCCCATAAGCCCAGAGCCGCACTGGCTGGAGAGATGCAAGAGCATGGGTGCATGTCCCACCATCAAGCCAACCCTTCCTTTTTCTTCTCACCACTACCTTTTTGGGATGATGAGCACGATAGTGGCAATGCCAATGGTGACCTCCATAAGCCCAGACAGGACTGGCAGAGGACTGTGGGTTCAAGTCCCACCATCACCCCAACCCTTCCTTCTTTTTCTCTTCTCCACTACCTTTTGGGATGGTGAGGTGCAATAGTGGTAGCACCAATGGTAGCCTCCATACTGTACCCATGTGACCAACTACTGGTCATGTGTCATGCTGGGGGTGCGGTTGAACAGCCCATGTCATGCAAATTCCTTGGTGGTGGCTCAGTGGCTATGCAACTATATTTCAAATGCCCTTTTTAGTAATATTTATATTAGAAGTGAAAAATCTTCATCTCCTCCAAATTGTGTGTCTGCCTTGCTCACATTCCATGGCCAAGATCCAAGCTGAGGCTAGAGGAAGGGAGCATGGTAATATCATCAAGGGTGCTGGAATTACTGAGAGATGCAGATGTAATTTGTAAATTTGTTTGGATGACGGGAGTTTGAACCAGAGAAACCCAGCAATGGACAGGGTGTGTCTGGGAAAGTAGGATCCAATAAGTGCATTTGGGATACCACTGTACAGGATGGGCTCATCTGTATAAGAGCAGATATGTTGTGCAAGAGCAAAACCATCCATACTTAGGTGCAAAGAAATTTTAAAGGGAAACTCATTTTCAAATTAATCTGGCTACCAGCATGTTGGTTTCCTTTTGGATCATGCTCCCACGGTCAAGGTCACACGCCTGCCAGTCAGGTTGTCACGCATCAAAATGAGCTCCTGGTTCATCACCTGGCAGAAATTTTGTGTCATGCTTGGGATGCCCCAGTAGTTGGTCGTGTGGGTACAGTAAGTCCATGGGCAGGCTGGAGGAGTGCAGGTTCAAGTCCTGCCCTCACCCCAACACCCTTCCGATTCAGCTTTCTCTCCACTACCTCTTAGTGACGAGGCACGATAGTGGTAGCGCCAATGATAGCCCCATATGCCGACAAAATGTTGACTGCAAGGAATGCAGGTTCAAGTCCTGCCGTCACCCCAACACTTTCATTTCTCTCCACTACCCCTTCTACCAAAGGCCTATCTGCCACATGCCTTTATTCAACAAGCATGAGCAAGATGCCACCAACATCAGCAAAAAATTGTTATGCTCCTGAGTGCTCCGGAGTATCGAGAGCACTGGGAGAATCAGGAGGAGATTGGCCGGTCCAGGAACAGCCCATTTCCTCCGGAGTTGGCTAGGTACTCCAGGGCACTCCCAGGAGGGCCTGGAGCATTGCTTTGTGCACAAACATATCCAGTAAATACAATTTAAATGCTTCAAAGTGTATAGGGGTGAGAAGCTTCTGGGAGCTCCTGGAGCATTTGAAAATGAAAAGGAAAAAAAGAGGGAAGATCCCCCATGAATACCTCCTACCACAAGACTAACACAACAAGACACTGCTTAACATTTAGATCAAACACTATACTATATATCAAGGACACTGAGACTCACCAATACACAATCAAAATTTATGGCCTGATATATGATTAATCTGGCAACTTAATCACTTTCGGGCTGGCAGAATATGGGGGAGGGGGAAATGGGGGAGAATGAGGGGGGGAAATGAGGGGGAAATGAGGGGGAGAATGAGGGGAGAATGAGGGGGAGAATGAGGGGGGGGAATGAGGGGGAGAATGAGGGGGGGAATGAGGGGGGGAATGAGGGGGAATGAGGGGGGGATATAGAGGGAAATGAGGAAAATTTGAAAAATAGGGACTTCTAAAAAGTTGAAAAAAATAATTAGGGAAAAAATCAAAAAAATTCAGGAACTGTAGTGCCTTTGAAGTGCTTTCAGGATATATAATTATTTGCAAAATCGAGGAAGAAATGATGGAGAAAAATGGAAAATACTTTCGGAGACCCGAGAAATAATGAGAACTGAATTGATGGGAAAGTCTGAAAATTGAATAGGGAAGTGAGGGGAAGCCTTGTAGCATTGTTATTTTCTGCTGTTCTAATTTTTCCTGATTGTTCTTGGTCTCACTCCCAGCTGCTACTGGATACTCCTGGATACTCCTGGATACTCCTGGAAGCTCCTGGGAGGGTCCAGGAGCAGCTAATGGAAAATACTTTTGGAGACCCAAGAACTGAATTGATGGGAAAGTCTGAAAATTGAATAGGAAAGTGAGGGGAAGCCTTGTAGCATTGTTATTTTCTGCTGTTCTGATTTTTCCCAATTCTTCTTGGTCTCATTCCCAGCTGCTCCTCAATACTCCTGGAAGCTCCTGAAAGCTCCTGGGAGGGTCCAGGAGCAGCTGGGAGTGAGACCAAGAACAATCAGGAAAAATCAGAACAGCAGAAAATAACAATGCTTACAAGGCTTCCCCTCACTTTCCTATTCCCCATCAATTCAGTTCTCATTATTTCTCGGGTCTCCGAAAGTATTTTCCATTTTTCTCCATCATTTCTTCCTCAATTTTGCAAATAATTATATGTCCTGAAAGCACTTTAAAGGCACTATAGTTCCTGATTTTTTTTTTGATTTTTTCCTGAAAATTTTTTTTTCAACTTTTTAGAGACCAAAATTTTCCTCCCACTGCTCCTGGCACATTACATACTCCTCACCACTCCCAGCTGCTCCTGAACCCCCTCCCAGGAGAACACTATTGGCTCCAGGAGTGCCCAATCTGCTGTTTTGTCTCCCACATGCTCCAGCCACTCTTGATGCTCCGGAGCATAACGGACTTTTGCTGATGAACACCCATCGCCTTTCGCTGCCACTGGAACATTCACCAGCCTACCATGACATAAACCCGTGAAAGCACCCTCCAACTCACCTACTCACAAGAACCGCACACTCAAACATTGACTTAACCATAGGCACACAGCAACAAAACATGCGACCCCAACACTGGGGGTCACGTGTCCTTTTCTTTGGCTCTATCCAACCTCTTTCCACCTCCATTCTCTCACCCATTGTTCAATCTCAGTGCAGGGGTCGCATGCCCCTTTATGTGTTATTGCTTCATCTCACTTTATTCTCCACACCATTGATTACTCGATGTCTCATACTTCCTAGGTCAAACAAATTCCTTTCTTCACATCCTTATGTTCTCCAAACTTTTTTCACCCGAGTCACTATAGTACGGCATATGCCGACAGGCACGGTTACGTACTTGAAAATGAATCCATCCATCCATCACATTTACATTTAGATTAGGTATCAAAAGATAACGAATCAAGACTGCTGATGATCACTACCTGGACGGCCATCAAGACCTTAAAACATATCACGCGCTTCGGCCTTGTTCTTCGAACATTGATCACATCCATCCACTGCGCGCACGATACGGGAACGGCACAACACAACGAGGAAGGCGTATGCACGCAATTTTTAACTCCCGAGGCTTCCGCTATAGTCCTATAATGCGTACCTGTATGCGCAGGGACGTCTCAATCGCTTGAGGGCCGGGCCGCCGGCCATTGAATGCTTGTGATTTTGTGATTCCCCGATGTTGTAGCGAACCCATGGTGCACTATGAACTGGTGTAAATGGGACTAAGAGCAGTGCAGATTTCGTGCAGTTATACTATGTAGTTGCACATGGATGCATCACCTGGCCCCGGGCAACTCCCCCCTTCTGGTCACGCTGGAGTCTGACTTCTCTGCTTCGCGACCCACGGAGCAGACTTCAATGATCATATCATTTCCAAAAGCTTGTAACATAACGTTCGGCTCTCTTCCGAGTAGAAGCTTTGCCGTCCGCTGCGATGGACTCCATCTTGACAGCAAATTAAGGGCAGGGTGCAACGCGTTCGCCGTCTCCAGGTTATTGTCTTTGCCATCGGCGTAAACATTATGCGGCGGCTTCGACTTCTGTATCTGTGAGAGGTCCTATATTGCTCTGCAAAATAAAGGACCTGCACTCTTCGCCCAAATAGCCGGATACAGAGTTGCTACTTGCGAGCACCGGCTGCCCTGGATCTTCATCGCTTTTCTGGCGCCGGTTAGAAGTGCCACAAACGAAGTAACCCCGAAAGGCAATGGACTGCTGTTGAGCTTGGTCACAATGAAAGCAATAGGTATGGAGGAATTGGCCAAACTAGCCGGATGCAAACTAGAATATGTTGATCTTCCAATCGAGGGTTCTTTCGCCTGCAGCGTGGCCTCTATGTAGCACAGCTAATACACCGGCGGAATTGACCTGACTTGGAGACTCTCCTTGCAGCAAGTCGTAGCCAGGAGTGTGATATATGGCAGCTAGCGATCACTGCACTTTCGTGAGAAGTGCCCCACGAAGTGAAGGTGATCAGCCCCCTCTGACGAGGACTTAAATAGGACGAAATGACTCATCACAGCGAGCCTAGCTGAGCATCCCCATCCCTTCCTCTCAAATCACTTCACCATTAGCTGGCGAGATGGTTATGTCCTTCCGCGAAAATCTCTTTGGGGGTCTCCTTTCTGGGCTTGTGCTCAATGCTGTGTACGTGTTGCCGATGAAATTAACGATACTTTCCTCTTTCCTTATCGTGCATTCATTCCGATGACTTCCCCCCCTGCCACAGTCTCCTCGGCGTAATCACCGTTCAGGCCTTCCTCTATTACCAAAGGTACCCTAGAGACCATGGCATTCTGAAATTCGCTGTCGGATTTTTGTGGTGAGTGTCAGTTAATCGAAACTACGCGACAGGTCAGGTAATTGCACTTTCTGTTTCTGTTTGCAGGCTCGTACAGATGTTTCAAGTGTGAGCCAAAGCCTCATCAGATGTGCTTTTTAATGACCTGTCCTTTCTCCAGATCAGCTACGATGTTTACAGTGTATCATCTATTCGTCTCCCATTTTGGCATTCCGGTGTTAGCTTCAGTTTGGTGGGTCCTCCAATGGGCTTGTTACAGTGATTTCGATTTTTCTTCTACAATAGGACTGGTACAGTTTACCAGATTCTTACGGTAAGATCACAACTACACCAACTCTGGACAAGCCAGCGGTTGTAACGATAACTCACTCCAGGTCATTTGTTCCATTGTCGTCCAATCTTACTTCGTCCTTCGGCTCCATCGATGTAAGTTGCTTTAGTATACTTTCATCCGGGATTTTCGATGGCGCCCCAATTTATGCCAGTAAGTGGAACGATCTGGTTACCAATGCTGCTCGTACGTTGCCCACGGTTCGTCCTATAAGTGTTCACTAATGTTTGCGATCCTTATTGACAGGTTCTTTTAACTTTGGGGCAAATCGGTGAGACGAAGCGTGTATTTGGATGCCTGACAGTGATATGTATCTTAACCCAGGGACCGGACTTGGTGAGAAGGTGTACAATTTGTGAAATTGATCGCTTCTGAGATTCTCCGTATCCGGTTCGTACTATTTGTAGTGATCTGTCTCAGAGTGCAAGTTGTTTCTCAAATCAGTGATCTGGCGTGTTCTAATCAGCCTGCCCCACAGAAATATTACTCGCGGTGTCCAAAGCATCATCCATCCCTTGCGCCCTCTCATGGTTTCTTGGCTAACACTAGAGGCGCGCCTTTCTATGCACTGGCTAAAGTCCTCACTTTACTTACGTGCACACACCTCAAATCGCAGGCAGCGGCCGACCTCGTGATTGCCCTTTCCGTGTCATACTTTCTCCAGACGCGACGCACAGGAGTCCGGCAGTAAGTAACCGATTTATCTCAAGGTGATTCCTGAATGGGTGTCCATCCTGGACTTTGAAGGACGGATACAGTGTTGCGGAAGTTGACAATCTATGCCATCAACACCGGCTCGCTGACCAGGTACGGTTTTGGGGAGTTGTCACTCAAACAGGTTGAGTAAGCGTCTATCCTACTATAACTCAGCATTCTGGCGTTGGTCGTCATGTTTGCTGTATGGCTATTCCAATTTCTCTGCTATACTAAGCGCCCTGACAGCCCTTCCTTGGGCAGTTCGCATTCTACGGCCTCCACTTCGTCCACATGATGTTCATCCTGGTGAGGAATATGTGGACCCTAATTTCACAATGGATCCCTCACGGTTTTTTCGTCCTAGCCGCTTGGTGGAGTTTATACCGCGTCCCTTCTGGCAAAGTATGTGTCGGACCGCGAAGCAACACGCATGACCATTGCATAAAATCGACGGTAAACTGACGGACACTCATCTCTTCTACTTCATCTCAGTCTACACTCACGCTCGAGACTCCGGAAAGTACTTCATCGTCAGGGAGAAAACGGCATTTCAATACACTTGTCCCGCCTTCCTCCCAGGGTGAGAAATGAATGTCCATGGCCCACTCCGTTCTGGCTAGCTCAACGAGTTTCGCCAGGTACGCGACAAGATAAATGGTGTTGCCCAACCCATAGAGATGCGTCATTCGGGCGAAGGCGCGGGTGATACTCAGTTATCGAGCGCAGATCCCCCGTATCTTCCGACGGGGATAGATGCAGGACAATCGAGCTGAGGATCCCCAAAAATGGCAAGACTGGTCCCTATCTCCATAATTGCAATCCTGTTCCAATTTGCTCTATTGGGCGGAACTTAGCAATAAGTGCTGAACTGAGTGGCCAAATCGGTAGCGTGCAGGTCCTTGGACTCATTCGTGATCGAGGCCCTTACAGTCTGTACACTAATGTTCTTGTGTTGAATGAGGAAAGAGCCGAAGTCGGCTCGACCGGTATCCGTGAAGACCCGTATTCTGTTATACCATAGTATCGTGGCCTGAGGGAGCACTCGCTGGGCAACATGATCACCCTTGAGCCAGCGGCAGATGTAACCACATCACAATGCAGGCACGCCGGCCAGGCAAAACTATACGCGCTATGAAACCTCAGGGCTCATGATGCCTTTTCTGATTCGTCTCGACAAGAGAGTTGGACAACCGTAATCTGTACGTCAAATTTCTCTGGGCCCATGATCCAGGGCGGCCACCGGCTCGCGCGGGGAATGAGCCCCTCTTCATCGACGGCAATTGACATCTATGCGATGTTTCGCTTTTGCGTAGACATTTGAACCCGTAATAGTACACTCCCAAGTAGCCTTTCATCACACCCGAGCTTACCAACTTATTTCATACCTTCTGGGTCTTGTTATTGGGGTCGGGGGATATTTGTGTTTGAGCATCCCGTATTCACGTCTATCATGCCGCTGGACAGGTCCGAACAATCATGGCGAACCGATACGGTGTCTACATTAAGGTGACCCTCCGCGAGGTAGGTGCTATAAGAGACGCTACTTGGCAATAGCCTCACTATTCAAGTCAATCCTTCAACATCATGATGTTGCCGCAATTCTCAACGGGAAGTTCGGCCAGATCGTGCAGCATCAGAACCAAAACGCCGATGGTGCATCCGATAAGTACGTGGATCTGGCACAATCGCTTAGACCCGTATCCTGGGTCAAACTTATGCACGGTAAAGATGGCGAGATTGCAATACACGTTAAGGAGTTGAATAGACCTTATGACAAATGAATCATGATATCATGATGTAGAAGCCACCTGAAAGAACTCGGGTTGTTGTGACGCTGGCTTCCGTTCTTCTATCTCTACATTCTATATACCTACCCTGAGCCTTGTAACGGCCAGCTGCGCAGAGTCCCTTTCTAGGGACAGTTAGTCAAACTCCAGCGAATCAGCCCCAGGGCCAAGGCCAGAGTACTGTACTCACACGACCAACTACCAGTTGCATCCGGAGCGTGACAAAAAGTACTGAACCGGCAGCTCATGTTGATGCGTGACACCCAACCGGCGAACTTACCATAAAAGGAATGCAATACTATCGGATATTGCCATAATAAGTAACTAAAAGCAAAAGAATTTGAAAATGTGCTTAGAGCACCTTTCTGAAAAATTTCCTGCACCCGGATATCACATATGGATGGTTTTGCACTTGCACAACAAATTTGTTCTTGCACAAATGAACCTATTTCATACAGAAGTAATATCCCAAGCCACCTTGCTAAGCCTACCTAAGAGGTAGTTTTTACCCATAGTATGCCTATTGGGCCTGGATCCTGGCTGATTAGGCTGCAATGGCACCTTACAAGTTGCATCAACCTGTGCTGAGGATACCCCCCTCAAGCCCACAGAAGTGTGACTTTGGCCACAGAAAGCGGGCCAGACAGGTGCGCCATTTGGACCAGGAAATGGCCATTTTTTGAATGTATTTACTTCTGAAAAAGGGAAATTTGAATTACAGTTTGCACAGCCACCCTGAAACCAGGTTTACAGTGTGACACAACTAACTCAACCTTTTTCCCAGCATGACACATGACAAAACCTTGATTTGAGCCGGACCTCGAGGCCAGCATGATGTGTGACAGGTTGTTGGTCATGTTAGTACAGTATGTCAGAACCATGTGAAGCTTCGCCGATGGTAGCCATAGGTGACCGAACGTTGGCTGCTAGTGATACAGGCATCCTACCCATGACCGAGGAATAACCCCACCGATCTCGAGGTCAAGGCTACTTAGGTGAGCGGGCTGGGATTTCAGCTTCAATGACTCATGGAGGAGCATTGCACCTTGTTCTCGATGCGGTCCCGATACTTTAGAAGGTGGAGGTCTTATGGGGAACAGATGTAAGCTTAGGGAGAAGTTCTAGTTGATTTCGAACTACAGTACAAGCAATAGTTACAAGCTGTATATAAGCGCTAGGGAACTGAATAGAGAATAAGTCGCCAGATCTCACGGAGATTGCAGGCGGAGAAAAGAAGAAGGAAAACAAACAAGAAGCACATGTTCAAGACAGCAAAGGTCAAACATGGTATGGTGAAACACGGGAAAGAGGTCACGGCGCTCTGCACCGCTAGGTCGTTCAACGACAATTAGTAGAGGGGTCATGGAGAAGTGGTTAGACGTCGACAGGCAGCGAGCGGAGTATGCAGGGAGTGTTCGGGCATGGGAAAAGGTCAGGGAGGAGGTCATCTGACTCTGGGGAATGCCGGGTTGTGACACAGTACTCCTTACAAGGCCCCCCATACATAGATGGCCAGGGGTGCTGCATTTGGTCAGAGAGTAAGGAGATTTGAAAATGACAGCAGGGTCGTTACAACCTCAGAGAACTGATCTTGGCACTGCCAGGTTTTTATGCTGGGAGGTTTGATGGTTGTCAGCCCACCTGTGCAGCAACCAACTCGGAGGTGTATCGATCGAGTATATGAAGAGGTGATCAAAGGACAAAGTTTCTGGTCATGGAGATGATGGTACAGGACAGAAAAACCAGCTATGCAACGAAATGTTGCATTTTGTGGGCAGTATCTGTTGTGAGGTAACAACCTGTGACTCACCAACAAGTGCACATGACCCACATGTGACCTATGGTCCTTGTGATTGCGAATGTATAGTTTCTCATTATTTGTGTCAGGGCACACCCACCTGACCCCGTGCTGCACCCCACGCTGTACTGCACTACCCTGCTATCACTCCCCGTCTCTCCTCCCCCACTCTCCCCCTTCTCTCTATTTCTATTTCTATTTCTATTTCTATTCTACGGTCAACTTCCCTTTCTCCATGTACCACCACATACCTAACCCTGCCCCCCTGATCGCCGCATGCGCCATGCACACTCCTGGCCTACCAAGCGGCCACCTCTGGGATCTCCCACAGAGACACCCAGGGAGGTGCGGCTGTGTGCGGAGATGACGTGGCTTCCTCCACATGACCCTAGCCGCATGTATATAATAGTGCCTGGGGTGGGAACAGAAGAAGCAGCCTTCTTCTCAACTTCCCACTTCAGACTAAGTGGTCGGGGATGCTCACCCCGCAACGGGATCGCCGCTATGCACAGCCACTATTCGTCCCACTGAGTCCCGCGTGCAGGGACCTCGCTGCTTTCGGAGCTGTCCCTGACAGCAGAAGAAGGCTTCAACCTCATCTCCCCTGCCTCCCCTGCTATGGTGACCGAAGAGCAGTATGATGAACTGCTGTCCCGATTTCACGAGCTCCAGGCCATCGTAGAAAGCCAAGCTCAGAACCAACCCCCAGCCACACCCGCACCGGCGCCGGTTCCCACACCAACACCTGCACCCGCCCCTAGACCCAAACCGCCTAAAGTCGCCCCCCCCACTGCCTTCTCCGGAGCAGCCGAAGACCTTGACCGCTTCAAGGCCGAATGCGGCATATATTTCCATGTCCAAGCAGTGGAATTCCCCAACCCCCTCTCCCAGATCCTCTTTGTCCTGTCCTATATGAAGGGAGGGACTGCAGGGGTGTGGGCGATGCAGCGCACCATCGCGCTACTGATGATGGGCTCCCCCCGGCTCACCATGGACAAGTTCAACACGGAACTCGATGCCATGTTCCAAGACCCGAACCGTGAGGCCACAGCCAGACAGAAGCTGGCCACTCTGCGGCAGGGCAGCGACTCTGTGGATAAGATCATCCAGGAGTTTGAGATCCTCGGACCTGCCTCATGGCTAGGGGACGTGGGGCCAGTGGATCACTTTGAACAGGCGATCAACTCCCAGCTCTGCAAAAGCATTTACCACCTCCGCCCCGTGCCAATGACCTGGGCCAAGTGGAAACGTGAGGCCACCCTCCTTGACAACCAGTGGCAGCATTTCCAGGCAACGCAACCCCACTTAGCCCCCACCAGGCCCCCACTCCCTGCCACTCTCCCACAGCCACGCCCCTTACCCACTGCTGCCACGCCCCAGCCCCCCGTGCCCCACCCCGTGGCAGGAGCAGGGCCACAACCCATGGACCTCGACCGCTCAAGGATTGACCAGAGGCGAAACGGGCTGTGTTACAATTGCAACGCACCAGGGCACATCACGCGGGATTGCCTGCAACTGAAAACCCGCTGAGCCAGATGGATGCACCACGAAGACCTCAGAGCGCTCATGGAGGGGCTGAGGAGACAGCTGGTAGATGGACCAGAGGCAGAGGGAGAAGGGCAGGAAGCGGAGGCCCAAGAGGATTTTCAGGAAGGTGACTGGTGAGGGATGCGTCCCGGCCACCTGCAGGCAATAGTACCAACTCGTGTAGATACCGTGAGGCACCTAAGTCGGCACCGACGTCTAAATTCCACCGAGTCATCGCCAAGAAAAAGAGGAAAACCGCGTCCTCGAACAGAGAGATACCAAGCGCGGCGCCGGAGGTAGCGGTCCCACCACCCGCCATCTACATGCTGTCGAAGCAACCCCTCAGATCCCTTAACCTAGCCGTAAAGCTAACCACCTTGACCTCCCTTGCTACTGTCTCTGTATCAGCCCTCTTAGACTCAGGAGCCACCGGGAACTTCGTGAGCCCTGAGTTTGTCAGAAAGCATGGGCTCAAGACAACCCCGCTCCCCCAACCCATCCCTGTCTGCAACGTCGATGGGACCCCAAACGAGAACGGGGCCATAACTGAGGAACTAGAGGCCCTTCTGACATTCAGACGGCACACAGAGTGGGCCCGCTTTGCCGTTGCAAACCTAGGGCGGCAGTCCCTCATCATAGGCCATTCGTGGTTGCTGCACCACAACCCAGAGGTAGACTGGACGTGGCAAAAGGTCAGTATGTCTCGCTGCCCACCCTCCTGTCGGTCGACGCAAGGACACGCCTACCAGGACCCTGTAGTGGAACCAGGGGACCGG